CGTACACACACACACACACACACACACACACACACACACACACACACACACACACACAACACACACACGCACACAACACACACGGGTGTTCACACTTGCCCCATTTACCAACCTCCTCTGCATGGTTAAAACACCTCATCCAGCGCTGGCACAGTCCCGCCACCCGTCGTCCATGATGTCGCCACCGCCATCGGCACATGAACACGCGCACAGCGACACGGAAGCAGCGACACCCACACCACCAGCGCCACCAGTACCACCAGCATCATCATTATCATCAGCACTGACACCATCACCGTCGTCGCCAGACCCGTCGCGCACGACGCACGGGAAGCGGCGTGATGTGCGGGGCACGATTGGGCGGTATATTGAGGAGCCGAAGACAACGCACCACAGTGGTGATCGTACACACGATGACCCGTTTCAGCAGGTGGTTGTGCAGGAGTATGCAGACACGACGAAAGAGGGCATCAGTAAGCAGGCGCGTGATATTCAACTCCGTGCCATCGCCATTCGCTCAAAGAACGCAAAGCGGGAGACGGTGTTCCAATCTCTCGCCTCGAAGGCGGCAAAGACAGACGATTACGAGGTGTGTGTGTCTGTGTGTGCGTGGATGTGTGTGTGTGTGTGTTTGTCTGTGTGTGCATGTGTGTGTGTGTGAGGGACTTTACTGTGTGTGCTGTATTGCTGCTTGTGTTGATGTGTGCTGCTTGTGTGTTTGGTTGCACATGTCGTTCCCGCGATTTTAACTCCACACCATGTTTGGTCCCATCAACACACCACCTTGCTAATCCCATGTTTACACTCATATCATCACCACCACCACCACCATCCCCCCCAATGCTGTCATCGCAGGAGGATCTGATGGCGCGTGTGCGTGCAGAGAACGACGCGCGAATTGCAGATGCAGCACTGCACAGCAACAGCAACGACGACCACCTGGCCGGTGTTGTCGAGGGCGACACATCCCAGTTCCGAGCGCTGCTTGAGGAATTGGGGCCAGCGGCGAAGCACTCGAAGAAGTACGGTTGTTGTCCTGTCGTGGTTTGGTCATCTGAGGAAGCAGTGAGCGCGTGTTATATGTTTGCTTTACTGGTTTATGGCGTGTGAACCGCGTACCTTACACACGCACACACGCACACACACGCACACACGCACACACGCACACACGCACACACGCACACACACACACACACACACACACACGCACACACACGCACATGCACACACACATGCACACACACACACACACACACACACACACACACACAGCTCGTCGTTTGGGTTTGGGGACGAGGCGTTACTGTCTGAATCCACAACGGAGGACAACAGCGCTGCGTTGAGGCAACACGGCACCCAAGACCAACACGCAGCGTCCACCTACAACTACAATGGCAGCGTTGGTGCTGACGACAGCACGTACAAGCGTGGCTACGGCGGTGACAATGGCGATAATGATGACAACAACAACGACAACGACGATGATGATGATGAGGGTGATGATGATGAGGATTATGATGAAGGTCTTGCATCGTCATCGTCGCATGCATCGTATGACGTCAGCGCGTCCACGTTGCATGGACGTTTCGCCCTCCGCGATCCCATTCCGGGCCTGTCGTCCAGTGACACGGACATTTCAAGACTGGGTCGTCGCCACCACCACCACCACCACCACCACCACCAGCACCACCACCACCACCAGCACCACCAACAACAACAGCCGCAGCCCAGCGAAGGCGTTGTTCTGACGCGTTTCCAGATGAGTCACGACGTGGGTGGCAGCGCACTTTCCCCGTCGCCACCGTCGTCTACATTGTGGCAACAACAGCACTCACCACCTCCACAACAGCAACAACAGCACTCACCGCCTCCACAACAGCAACAACAGCACTCACCGCCTCCACAACAGCAGCAACGGCAGCATCAGTCGCGATACAGGGGCTCACCGCTACCGACGCGAGTGGGCAGTCAGCCTCAAACGCATTTGGCGCAGCGGGCCGTCTCTGAACGCGTCTCCGTAGACTCACCGACACTTGGGCGCAGGAGGTTGCACGATAGCATTCACATTCGCCGTGCACAGTCGCTGTCCTTGCTCGCATCATCCCCACCATCATCCCCACTGTCATCTCGCAAGCCTGATCATCGACAATCGCCCGTCCACCACCGCCACAGCCACCACCACCACCATCGTCACAGCCAACATCCACCCCACCCCCACCGTCTCCAAGCAAGCCAGCGGCGCGATGGTCGCACGTGGAGTGATCCTGGCCTCCTCCTCAGACGTACGACAGCCGGCATGCACGATGCGTGGCGTCAACAACTTGTGACGAGAGTGGCAGCGTGGCTGTGGCTGAGATTTTTGTGCATTGTGTTGCGGTGTGTGTGTGTGTGTATGTGTGTGTGTGTGTGTGTGTGTGTGTGTGTGTGTGTGTGTCCTCTGTACTCTTGTTGGTCTCACGCCATCCCACCCCTTGAGCTCGTTCTTTCCAAGTCTTTACTCACCGTATTGCCATCACCATTGCTACCATTGTCACCACTCACTCTTCATTTCCGTGCATCCGCAGACAAGCCAGGCCGCAGCAGCATCAAGCCGCCCTCAAGCCCGGTTCCTGCAAAGGCGAAACGCGTCAGGGTGAGTTTGGGTGTGTGTATGTAGGGGGGTGGGGTGTGTGTGTGTGTGCGTGTGTGTGTGTGTGTGTGTGTGTGTGTGTGTGTGTGTGTGTGTGTGTGTGTGTGTGTGTGTGTGTGTGTGTGAGGATGTGTGTGCGCGTGTGTGTGTGTGTGAGGATGTGCGCGTGCTTACCGTGTCATCAGTTGCCCATCCTTTCCTCCCTGCTCACTCCCTTCTCATCACCATTAACCGACCACTCAATCGCTCAGTGGGCGCGGGCGGTGACGGTTGTGGACACGGCTGGTCGCTTAAGCCCAGTTGTTCGCTCGCCACGAAATCCCCCCGTGCAGCACCGCAATAACCCATATTGCGGCTCTCCACTCCCGCAGCGCGCAGGCAGTGGGCGATCATTCTCCACCATCACGCCCGTTGTCGTGTCTCCGACACACGACAAGGTGCCTGGCAACACCAGTGGCAACAGTGGTGGCGATGGTGGCGATGGTGGTGAGAGACACCATCATGACAGCCAGCAGCAACGGCATGAGGGGCGTGGGTTGCGCAGGGACCAGCGCCACAGGACCAGCACCCCACCGCCACCTCGCTCCTTTTCTCCAACCGTTGATGTGGTGGCACGAGAGGCAGAGGATGCGTACATCACCATTGTCGCCAACAACAGCATGAGCAGCAGTACCAACACCACCACCACTGCCACCACCATGACCATCGGCAGGAGTACGACGCGTGAAACGAGGGCGCGTGCAAGCATCACACGCGGAGACAGCACCGACGAATACAGGGGGTTCGCAGACATTCACGACGACGGTGATGATGGTGGTGATGATGGTGACAGTGATGATGGTGGCGACCACCTTCGCGCCGGGAGGAGCAACGCTGACAACACACATACATCGCCGACGCCGGACACCAGCACGGGTCACGCATCACAGCGGTCACTGTATGCAAACGTGCCCGGTGTGATCAAAGGTGCCGTGTTGCAGCGAAGCTGGCTGGAAAACGATGTGTCATACCAGCCTGCCGACTACACGGCAACAGCTGTCCTTTCAGCTGGGGACGCGGATCCGCAGGACCCATCTTCCATCAGGTTGGAAATCATTTCAAAATGAGTTGTTTCACTTTTGAGCTTGCAATCATCTCCAGTTCTAGCGCTCCATGTTTGTGTGACGTTGTGTTGGGTATGCCTGGTGTTTGAATTGTGTGTTTGTGTGTTTGTGTGTTTGTGTTTGTGTGTTTGTGTGTTTGTGTGTTTGTGTGTTTGTGTTTGTGTTTGTGGTTGTGTGTTTGTGTGCACACTGGTATCTCACAGTGCACCCCCGTACCCCGTGTGTGTGTGTGTGTGTTTTCAGGTTCAATGCGAGCGGCATTGCAGCGGAGGACGGCGTTGATCGACGAAGTGTCGCCGGAACATATGTCGTCTTCAACAACCGCCCGCTGTGAGTTGCGCTCGCACGATGGAAAAGGAGGCACGAGAGGCAAGGAGGAGAGCCAGGACTTGTGAGACAGGAGGAGGGGAGGAGGGAAAGGGACATACAGAGAGGGGTTTGCAACGCACACTCACTCACTTACGTGCTGCTTGATTGGTTTGGATCTACCCTCGTCAAAGAAACCCGTGCGGACGGACAGGCATTGCTGGCCGCGGCGTTTTGAAACGCTGGGGACCAAATCCCACATTTCACTGCTTCGTCACGCGTTACGCACGCGATGCGTCGGGGAAACTGCTCATGACAAAGGGAGCCCAGAGCTTGGAGGTGCGCACGTGTGCTTGCGTGTGTTAGTTCAGGGGCGAGAAAGGGAACATGTGGCGCGTTTGTGTGTGCTGAAGTGGAGGGAGAAAGGATTCGTGGTCTTGCTCCCCGTCCCTGACACCGTTTGTTTGTTTGTGGCGCCCATGAGCAGGTGCTGCTGTTGCAATTCCCTGGCGGCGACTTTGATGCGCCACAAGTGAAATCCAACACAGCAGATGCATTTCTCTCCATGCTGCTGGACAAGGTGCGTGGCACGCTAACACAATCGCAGTGGTGTCCAATTCTACCTAGGTTGCAGTGCAAGGTTGACAGCTCGCAGACGCACCCACTCACCCACACACACACGCACGCATGTGATGTGTCTATCCCACCTTCACCACTGCCCATTGCACTCTTCCCCGCGCCTTGCACCACATCAGGGCCGCCACGACCTTCGCACGCTGTCCTCCCAATCCGCACGCGTGTCTGCGCTTCGCATCGATACAGCCGAGCTCTCGCGTCAGCTGGAGTCGACCCTTGGCGCCAAGCAGCCACTTCGCTCCTGCTACAAAGGTGCTCTTCGAACCGGTTTTGTGGCTGTGGCATGGTTGAGAGTACCACTTTTGCCATGCACATGCTGCAATGAGTCAGATGATGCATTGGCGAATGTGTGTGTGTGTGTGTTTTTTTTCCTCCCGTCTTACACCCCCGTCACACACACACACACACACACACACACACACACACACACACACACACACACACACACACACACACACACACACACACACACACACACACACACACACACACACACACA